GTAAAAATGCACTGAGACATACACGCAATTTAAATAATGATGCCATGTATAAACCAGCTTTGAAAAGATTACAAGATAACGGATACGGGGTCAGGGTTGGGGCCCTGATTAACACCCAGCTGCAACACCAGCAATCCGCATCAGAATGCTCCTCTGAGCTCCAGCTACTCCACTTACAAGCTTCCTGCTGATCCACCCGGGTCCTTAGAAGCTCCTGGCCCGCCCCCCTGCTGTGGCCCAGCCCAGCTGATGCCAGTCATGGGGGGGGGGGGGTATGAGCAGTGCAAAACATCCCTCTTCCAATTCTCCCACTTTCTCTTCTGATCCATAGTCAGACGTGTTATCCATTGCGCCACGGGCCCCATCTCCTACTTTCTCTGTCTTCTGATAAATAATTTAAAAAAATTAAAGCTGAGGGGCTGGAACAATCACGCAGCTCGCTGATTCCCCACAGCACTCCTCACAGGCGCCAGTTCAAGGCCCACCTCCCTGCTAACGTCCCAGCAAGGCTGTGAGAGCGAGATAAGGCCTTGGGCTCCGGCACCTGTGTGGGACCCGGAAGAAGCTCCTGGCTCCTCAGCAGCAGCTCTGGTCACTGCGGCCAGTTGGAGCAGGAGCCAGTGGTTGGAAGATACACCTCTCTGTAACTCTTTCAAATAAAACAAAGCAGCTTCTCTAACAATTTTAAAATAAAGATAAAATATTCTCAATTTTCACTGTTCCATCTTTCCCTTCATGAGTATCTTGCTTTTCAAGTAACTTATTTTTGTTAAGGTTACCTGGTGATTCACATTAGAATGCGTATCTGAGAGTGGGCACTTGCTGCAGGATTCTACTCGGGACCCCAGCAGCCCCCTCGGGAGTGCCTGGCGGGTCCCAAACCCTCCTCTTCCACGCCAGCTCCCGCTGCCCAGGCGCCCTGGAGCCGGAGCCCTTCACTCCATGCAGCCCTCGCTGAGGCAGGGATCAGAGTATGACCCACAGGTGGAGGGGGTCACTCTGCCTTTCCAGTGAACAATTACATTAACAACTGGTAAATTTTTATTTTTGTTAGGCTTTATATTAACAAAATGGTATAAATGTGATTATTTTGCAATGTATGAACTTTCACACACCTGAAATTCACCAAGTGTATTTAGTGTCAGTGATTTTTGAAACTGTTTTAATTATAGAACACCACTAACTAAATCCAGTACATAACGAGCCTTTTGTTCGAAGAAGGTAACTGGGAGCACAGAGCAGGATTCAGGACCCACAGCGTCCCAGCCTGGCAGACTGGATGGAGAAGAACCGCAACTTAACGAAAACGGAAAAAATGTAACATGATCTATGGAAGGGCGTCTCACAGGAGGAGAGTAACGAATCAATGTCAAGGCATGGTAAACTAAAGCTCTGGCAAAAATCACTTGAACTGGGTCAGGTAAGAACGACACGGCTTTATCTGCAGTATTCCACACTGGAATGTTCTTGGGGCTTCCAGAACAAACAGCAAATCATGACTACCTTTATCAGAGCTGGTCTCCTTCAGCTGCAGGAACTCGGGCTTCTGGTATGACATGCTCTGAGCACAGGAGAGGCCATGGCATCACTACCCAGGAGTGGCACGGCACGGAGCCCAGCCGCCAACAACCCTTCTGTCCCCGGGGTCTGTACACTAGGAAACCCACAGTGAACCCCTCCATTTCAAAGATTTTGTTGTTGTTAAGTCAGATATACAGAGAGGAGAAACAGGAAGATCTTTTATCTGCTGATTCACTCTTCAAGCAGCCACAACGGCCAGAGCTGCACCGAACCAAAGCCAGGAGCTTCTTCGGGGTCTCCCATGTGGGTGCAGGTCCCAAGGCTTTGGGCCGTCCTCAGCTGCTTTCCCAGGCCACAAGCAGGGAGCTGGATGGGAACTGGGGCCACTAGGATTAGGACCAGTGCCCATATGGGATCCCAGTGTGTTCAAGGTGAAGACTTTAGCCGCTAGCCCTCCTGAACCCCTCCATTTCCTGGGCTTAACACTAAGAAGCACAGCAAGGTGCCAGACCCCTCACTGTAAAGTACCCCACAAGGCTGACCATCCGTTTACAGCCAGCTGCCACACCAACACCTAGCACCAAAGAGACATTCCCTCACACTGCAGCATACACGGTTAAATGGACGCAGCCCATCCTCTCAGTACAAGGGCCACTTGGGGCTGGGAAGCTGGCCACACTGAGCCCTTGCTCCATGGCCAGGGAACTGCACTCAGCTGCTTCTTGCCACCAAGTGGACAGAAAAACCAAATGACACTCATCTCATGCAGGAAGGCCTGGGTTTGAGTCCAGGGGGAGGGGAGGGGAGGGGAGGAGGAGGGGGAGAGGAGGGGAGGGGAGGGTAGGAGGAGGGGGGGAGGGGAGGGGGAGGGGGGAGGGGAGGGAAAGGCATGCTTATTTGCTTATTTTCTTCTACTTGAAACCCGGAGTGGGAGGGGAAGGGAAAGGAGATAGTATACAGTTCTAGCTACTGTTACCCAGTCACCCAGTCACCCAGTCACCCAGTCCTGAGCCTGGAACTCCATCCTGGTCTCCCACCCGAGCCACATCAGCAGGGAGCCGGTCCGCAGGAGCCCGGGCTGCACCCAGCAGGGATACGGAGCGCATGCCAGGGAGACACAGGCAGGGGCTTAGTGCAAGGCACCGCCACGTCCGGCCCACGGCAAGGATCATGCGGCTATTTCTACTGCAACCTGTATTTTGTAAGGCTAGATGTTTTTTTCTAAAACGAATGTTAACAGATACACCTACAGCTACCGATATCTTAAAACTCACAGCACAAGTACGATCTGGAATGAAATGCCCGGAAAGTGACACATGCTTAACCTTACACACTCAAAACCACTTAGCTCAAACTGGTCTTCCTGAAACAAAAGTCGAGTGAAGCTAAGGAACCAGCACATTGCTTTCAGCAGTGGGCTTCCCCACCTTGGAAGTGACAAGGGCAGTGGGGGCCTCCTGAGCCAGGGGATGGCAGGGCAGGACACAGAGGAAGCCCACGTCCCCCCCAGCAGCCCCAAGAGCCTGTGGGTCACTGCAGGGCCATCCACACGCCCGGTGCCCCCAGGCCTCGCCTGCAGCTCAGTCGGGGCATTTAGCACTGGGGAGCTGAATCGCTTTCACAGAATTATAATCATACAATATGGAACTAACTGTTTCATCAGTCCAAACTAAATTTTCTGAACTAACTTCACTAATAAATATGATCACATGTATGCCTGATTTTTCTTAATTTAATGCTTCAGTAACTTAAAAACACAGGGTGAGGGAGGAAGAGAATTTCATGTCCCTAGAATTACATCACAAATCATACTGAATGTGTTATAAACTAATTAAAAACTTTAAAATTTCTTTAAAAGGGGGACTGGACACATTCTCTGAAAAGTAGGGTTTCTCTTGGTTGCGTTCTTACTTCAGCCAGTTTTTCCATAAAGGCACTGCTAACTGACATCGACGTGAGACTTGGAACAAGCCAGGTCCTAGAAGGCACAGCCTGGTGCTTGAGAACCCTGCGAGCCGGTGAGGGCACGCAGAGAGGGCACGCAGGGAGGGCACGCAGGGAGGGCACACAGCAGCACCCCGGCAGCTTCAAGGACAGACAGGAACAAGAGGACAGGTCTCCCTGCAGGCTCGGCACCTGTGCCACCCAGCTCGGAAGAGCCACAGCACACCAAGGGGCTCAGGTGCCCCAAGTGCCTGCTGAGAGCATCTGCAGGGACACACTCCCCTCCCACAACCCCAAAGGGACAGGCGCCCCACCTGCCAGGCAGCTGTCTGGGGACAAGCTTGGCTCAGAGAACCTGAACCCTGCTGGCAGGCCCAGCTCCCCCCATTCCCAGCCACCGGCCTTTAACTGCTTCCTGTGTAATGTGTCACTCCCCGAGCAGGACCGCTCCATCTGCACAGCTCTGATTCTCAAACCTCCAGCCCAGGGCTGGGGAGAAACCAGGCAGCGGCAAGCAGCCCACCTCCCTGGGAATTCAGGGGACCTAAGGCAGGCTAAGGGCCAAGCCGACTCCCTATGGTCCCCAAGATGGCTATAAACATGCACACACACCGCCCCTGGTAGAAAAAAAGTGCCTCCCCTGGCAACAAAGTTACTCCGAGAGACTATCCCAGGAAGCAAGGCATCCTAGGGAAGGCCTCACACACAGAACCACCTGCTGGTTCCACTGGGACCTGTAGCCTTCAAATCAGGTGTCTGGTCCGGGCTGGTTTAGATACTGTCTTTGCTTGGACAGAGACGGCAACACAGATGGCTCTCGAAGTACCGTTTTATTTTTTTAAGATCAGTATTTGATCCAGAGAGTGTTGGCTAAGTAGCCTGGAGGGTAGCTGTAAGCATCAGGAAGAAACCTAATATCCAACCAGCGGACTTCCAAAAAGACAGACTGAGAGGAGGAGGAGGAGCGGGAGGAAGAGCGGGAGGAAGAGCGGGAGGAAGAGCGGGGGAGGAGGGGGAAGCAGCCCAGCTGCAGCCCAGGCAGGCCAGGAGGCCTCCAGCAGGCCGGGAACGCATGGGCCCTCAGAGAGGACTGAGAAAGGGGCCAGTCCATCGGCGCCTGCTGAGAAGCCAGTTCGCCAGATGCGGGGTGCTGGGTGACTCGCCAAGGCCTGGGGCGCCTGGTCCCGTCGAGGACGCACAGGGCCACCCCTCCGGCCACCCAGGGCTCGTCCTGGACCGTGAGAACCGCGGAGCTCAGCTCCCGCTGACCGCACTCGCCCTGCCCAGCTGTCCTCGGGTAAGGGGTAAAAAAAAAAACTTTCTGCTCGGGATGGGCCTTCTCAAGTGAACCCCCCTTTGCATCTTTCTCGCCAAGGGAGCATCTCGGGGCCCCGACTGGCCACTCCCCAGCCCTGCTTCCTGCACCGGGAGCCCGGCGAGCCAGGCCTCTCGGGTGGGAGCCCGGGCTTCCCTCCTTCCTCCCAGCCGGGGACCCCGCAAGCAGCCGGGCTCCGCGGTCGCCCCGACCCGCTCACCTCGGCCCGGACCTCCTCGGGGCCCTGCACGGCCGCCGGCTGCGGCTGCAGCTGCTGGGCAGGCGCCAGCGCTTCCTTGTTCCGGTGGCTGAGGTCTTCATCGGGACCGGCCTGCACGCGGGCCGGAGCCCCCAGCAAGAGAAGGAGGAGGAGGAGGAGCGGCCCGGGCGCCGACGCGCCGCCGCTCCCCGGGCCCGCGGCCGCCATCCCCGCCCGCGCGCAGGGCGCCGCCGCACAAGGAAGTGCGGGCCTCCGGGAGCCCGGCGCTCGAGCCTCTCGGACGGCGCGTCCCTCACGCCGAGGGAGCCGCCGGCACCATGCGGGAGGCGCAGGGGAGCGCGTGAGGCGTCGCCGCAGCAGCCCGCGTCCTCGGCCCCGCGCCGGCTTCTCCACACCGGCCTCCGCCAACGGCCTCGGCGCCGCCCGGTCCCGCCCGCCGCGGCCTCCCATTGGACAGGCGTCCACTCCGGCGTCGTGACGTCCGCCGACAGGTTGAGGTGCGGCCCGCGCGCTCCGCCCTGGGGCCCCGCGCTGGCCAGGTACCGGCGGCGTGGCGCGGCGTGGCGCGGCGTGGCGCCCCGTGGGCCGGCCGGTGGGCGCGGCGCTGCCCGCGGCGCCTCTGCCTTCACGCCAGGCCCGCCGTCCCCTACTCTGTGTTGCCTCTCTGGGACGTGCAGTTAGTCGGGGCGCCCTGGTTACGTGGCACTGTGCCTGCGGGCACGCGCCGATGGCGAGGTCTCCACCACCCTGCCAGGGTCCTGAGAGACGTCGGAAACGCGAACCCTTCCAGGTCCTCAGATCCCGGGTGCCTGTTAGACCCCTGAGCTCTAACCTGGTCCCGACCCTGCCTCCTGCTGTGTTTAGGGCACGAGGTGTCTGGTCCTGGGATGGGGGTGGGAGGATGACCAGTCGGGCTCAAGAACGTACTGGAAGTGTGGCCCGGAGGTTTCAGCTCCTGGGGAGAGTGACCATTTGTGGGGGCCCTAGCCTGGAGTTTGGCAGTCAGTGTCGGTGCGTTAGAAAGTTGGCCCACGTGGTCCTGTCCCTGCTGTCCTAGGCCAGTCACGCTTGGCTCCTCCCGTCTCTGGTTCTCTTCCTCCAACACCTGTTTCAGGCCTCGTCCTCACAGCTTCTGCCACCTCCTCCTCCAGGCTGTAACAGGGGTTTCATGTTCTTTCGGGAAACAGAATTTGGGGTACGGTAGAGTGCAAACAGGCTCCCTCCCCTCCCCCAGACACTTACACAGCAGGATCTGCTGTGCCCAAGAGGAACTTCAGAAAGAATGGCTCAACCCAAGTCAGAGGCAGGAAGCAGCGTGAATGTGGCAAAACTGGTCCTGTGGCCCCAATTCCTGAAAGGTGCCCTGATCTGACTTGGGATGGGCGCTCTCCTGGCCAAGTTCTCAACATATAGGAAGGGCCTAGGGGCTATACGTGGCTCAGGGGGCAAGCAGCAATGGTTGGCAGGAAACAGGCAAGTAATCAAGAAAAAGCCTTGTTGCCAGTGAGGAGCTGGCGCAGCAGAGTTGGCACGTGGGCAGAGTCTGCGCCAGTGGGGACCATTGCAGCTGTGCCCCAACTGCCTTGAAAAATAAAACAGGACCAGGTGCGGTGGCCTAGTGGTGGCTAAATCTTCACCATGCTAGCACCTGGATCCCATATGGGCACCGGTCCCTGTACTGGCTGCTCCACTTCCCATACTGCTCCCTGCTTGTGGCCTGAGAAAGCAGTAGAGGACGTCCCAAAGTTTTGAGAACCTGCACCCAAGTGGGAGAACTGGAGGAAGCTCCTGGCTCCTGGCTTCGGAATGACTCAGCTGTGGCCATTGTGACCTCATGGGGAATGAATCTGCCTTTTCAATAAAAAAATAAATCTTAAAAAAATAAAAATAGGCTGGCATGAGCGCCTAGCTTCTACTAGCATGGATGGGCTCCCAGGGCCTGGAGGTGTGGGCTTGTGGGAATCTTGGGAGATGGCGCCCGCAGGGGGCATGTGGGAACTTGGGGGCTCCTGCCCAGGCAGGCAGAGCGAGCCGGGGGAGTTCTGCCCTTGTTTGGTGCTGGGCAGGGTGCAGGGCAGGAGAGGAGGGGCTAGCCCTAGGGTGCCATGCTGTCATGTTGTACTGCTAGTCGGTTTTGGGGAACTGTGAATATTCTTAAATCTTGGGTGAGCAGAGGGGTAGTGTCCCAGGCCAGCATGTATGCCAGGAGCTTGAGTTCTTACTGGGTGGGCAGACCACCAGCCCAGCACACCACCCCAGCGAAAGACTGAAAACAGGCTTTGGAAGCCATGGCGTATGGGAGGACCCTGGGGAAGTATGCTGCAGGTACAGGATGACTCCTGGGGGACTTCCACAACAAGGCCACTGTCCGTGCAGGTGATTCCGTGTTAGAATCCCCGAGATGAAGTCTCGGCTCCCAATCCCAGCATCCTGCTAACCGCATTGTGGTGGGTGGCCTGGACTGAGTTCTGGGCTCTGACTCAGGCCTGGCCCAGCCCTGGATGTTGCATGCTGTTCTAATCCCACTGTTCTAATCCCACGTACACACCTGCAGAACTGTGACTGAAACCCCGGCCCTGCCAGCATCTGAAAGGTCTTCTTTCTGGAACTGTAACCCATTTGGAGGCGTTTGCTGAAATATTACAAAGACCAGCACTGTGCTCACCCTCCTGCCCCATGTCCCAAGATGGTGGCGAAGCGAAGCGACCTGTAAGGACAAAACCCCAACCTCCTTGTCAGCCGTGGCAGGCTCTGTCTCCAGGAACTTAAAGGAAGGAAGGAAGCACGGACGGTGAGTAAGCAGCCATGGCCCTGCCCTGGTCACTTGCTGTACTGAGGAGCAGCAGCCCACACCGTCCCAAATTGCTGGAGAAGCCAGGGATCTGGATTTTCATGTAAAAATTTCCTGTGTCTTTTAAAAAACCTGCAGTTTGATCAGATTAAGGTGGCAGGCCATCAAATCCAGCACAAAAGCCAGATTACATACATCAGAAACTACATGCAAATGTCTCCTCCATCAGAGATGATCCCAAGCCAGCCCAGCAGGGACCTGGGATCCAGGTGGTCCCCATCCACTCTACCAGGCACAGGGTGTGGCCTTCCTGGTCACCACACCCATGGCTGTGCCAGCTTCCCAGTTGCAGGCAGCAGGGTGGAGGGCTGTCTGGGAACACAAGGAGACGGCTGCCTGTCAGAGACATGTCCACTCCCATGTCACAGGGTACAGTGAAGCCGCCTGGCCACTGCTGGCCATAGCAGGAGTCGAATCTTTACTGGGGTGAGCAGGAAATACTTGTGTCACAGGAACAGTAGCAAGGAGGGTTTCCCCGAGGAAATGGAGCAGTAGGAGCCACATAGCATGAAAATGTCAGAGCACGTTGTTCCTGAATAAAATTCCATCGTTTCTAGGAAGCTTGTGATTTTCACTTTCTAGTCGGTGTGCTGACTTGACGAGGCCCACGCCCTGTTACTGAGGGCCATTTCTCTTACTCAGACTCAGCAGGTGGTAGGTGTCAGTCACACCCACAAAATGTCTGGACAGTGACATCTAGGTGAGTGATTGAGCAATGGGACCCCATACTCCAGGGGTAGTTAGCATGCCCCTGGGATGCCTGTGCCCCCTAGCTGGGTTGCTCTCCTGACTCTCTCCCCAGGCCTTCTTCCTGCTCCTGTGATCCGTGGGAGGCAGCAGGGGATAGAGGGCTGATAGACTGGAGTTCCTGCCATCCTCTTGGTAAGACTGGGTTGTGTCTTGGCTCCAGCCTGGCCCAGACCAGGCTGTGGCCGACATTTGAGTAAGAATCAGCATTTGGGAGATCTCTGTTTTTCTCTCTCCCTTTCTGCTTCTCAGATGATAATTAAACTCAGTGTTCAAAAAACCTTTATCATTACAATCATTCAAACAATTTTTAAAAGTGCAGGCAGAACAGGTGCATTTTCAGTCAGGTTTGGTCTGCATGCAGCCTGCCGGCCTACTGGCCTTTCTGTAATGTTGGAGCGAGGGCTGCGGCCTTTGTAGGAAATTTTAAAATGGCCTAGGCGTGTCCTCACCGCTGCTGGAATCCCACGCCAGCCTTCCTGGGAGATCACGTGTAGATGTTGACAGGGTGCTGTTGAATGAGCAGCATGCTTCTCTCTTTGACTCTTGGCTCATTCAGAGTTTCTCTTCAAATCCACTTTTGACCCAGCTCTCTGCTAATGCTACTGGGAAAGCAATGGAAAATGGCCCAAGTCCTCCATTCTCTGCACCCATGTGGAAGACCTGGAGGAAGTTCCTGACACTTGACTGGCATAAGCTCAGCTCAGCTCTGGCTGTTGTGGTCATTTGGGGAGTGAACCAGTGAATGGAGGATGTCTCTCTCCTCCTTTTGATAATTCTGCCTTTCAAATAAAACAAAAATCTTAAAATAACTTGACCTTCATACAATCGACCTAGTAAATGGAGGCAAGATGTATGATCATTTTAGCAGGGACTTGTTGTAAGGCTTTGTATATTAGGCTATTTTTCCTTTCTTGTATGCATTGTTACTATTTTTAAACATTTTTCTTAATATTCAGTATTGTTTAGATAGTTTAGAGAGACGCATGCCCCTCTGGGCCTATGACACGGGTGGGAGGTTCAGGTGTTTGCAGGAAAGTGGGTGAGACAAATGCTTCAGTTTTTTTCCCTCCTGTGTCTACCAGAGAGAAGAGGGAGGGAGCTGTCCCTTGTTGACCAACTACATCAACACCCAGTGATTGAGGGACACTCATTCAACAGCTTGGAGACCCCCGTGTGGAGAAGTGTTCCGAAGGTGTTACTTGTATGGTCTTTTCTTTATTTTTTACAATCTTTACATAGCTAATTAGGGTAAAAAGGTTCAAGGGCTAAAGGAAATTGAGTAAGACTGTTATTTCTACATTTTTTTTCATGTATCTAGGGTAAAGGGGGAGATAAAGGGAGAAGCCCCACCTAGTCTCCCACCCACCCCAGGTCCCTGATGTGGGGCATGCTCCGAGGGTCTTGCTCAAGTGGTTTTGATAGTTCAGCAGTTGTGAATTGCTGCCAATCTCGCCACTCCAAGCACGATGAAGTCGCTGAAGAATCTCTATCTTAGAGTCTCCATTTGCCCAGTTTTTCACTGCCAACCTATGGCTGAAGTAGTTGACTGACTTGTTCTGTCTTCTCTCTTCTTGGTTAGGGTTCTGAGTCTGGCAGTTCAACTGGGGAGATCCCCAAAGAAACTTTGTCTGAGGTATTCCCAGACCAGATTCTTGTATGTATTAGCAAGTACAGGGCCTGGCACAGTGTTTTTGATAGTTGAGAAGTTGTTGGTTTCATTGCTCCAGGGTTGAGAAAATCTTTCCAAGGTCCACTGCTTGACAAAGTCCACCTTAGTGCATGCACA